AACAGACTTAAAAATACATCAAAACAGTTAAGGATCAACCATGGTAAAAGTGGGCATAATCTTGAAAGTTCATTCAATTAAACATCAATTTATATGACGAAAAAATTAAACTTTTAGCACTTTAACCATTATGCATGGACTTGCAACAAAACAATATATGCTACACAGTCTTGTGTTGGAGGCCACATTTTACAACCCGTCTCATTTAATTGCATAGGGGCTATGAAGTATTGAGCCAACAATTGCACTTATTAGCTACAGTAAAAATGTTAGACGTAGGAGAGAACTGTCATTTTTTTTTATATAAATAAAGTGGGAGCAATGGGACCTAAAACCATTCTTATATGTAAATCTAACTTGAACATTCAGGAATTTGGGGCCTTTCACACAAGACACGGTTCTCCCTTCAAAAACCGAACGAAGCAATAAAACATGAGGGGTCTAGAGAATTTTTGTTGTTGAACTACTTTTAACTTGACGCTCCCTAAAGGGATCCTCCACTTTTTTTGGAAATAGGCTCATTTTACCACTGTTGAGTTTTACCGTTTTCAAATCCATTCAGCCGATTTTCTGATATTTAGAAGAATATCAGTAACCAGACAGTTTCTGGTCTCATTGACTTCCATAGTAGGAAAAAAATATACTATGGAAGTCAATGAGACCAGAAACTGTCTGGTTACTGATATTCTTCTAAATATCAAAAAATCGGCTGAATGGATTCGAAAACGGTAAAACTCAACTGTTTAACTCTGGGGGAGTGGTAAAATGAGCCTATTTCCAAAAAAAAAAGTGGAGTATCCCTTTAAGTGATGCTCATGGTGTGAGGTGGCAAAAAAAACAGTAACATAATGGCCAAAGATGTCTGTCCATACGTAGGCCAACCAAAAACAGCAGTCAGAACACAGTGTGAACGGCCCCTAAGATTGTCAACTTGCAAAAATCTAGTTGAGATCAATAATGAGTCTTTGTTCCAATATGGATTTCATAAAGGGAAAAATCAATGATTCTTCCACGCTTTAAAGACGTGAAACTATTCAGTCCGCTTCCTTCCAAATACGGCCGACATGCTCCTCACGATACCCTTGAAGCCTGCGTTGCCCTTCTTGAGCGCCCTCGCTTCGCGGATGAGCTCAAACAGTTCGTGAAACACCATCAGCACACCATGGTACGTCTCCGCAGCGGAGACCTCAAAAAACCCACAGTCCGTTGAGAGCGCCAGCAGCCGGCCCTCCTCACTTGACACCGTACGTCGGTGCTGGAGGTCTCTCTTATTCCCCACAATGATGATCTGAGCTGCGCTGGCCAGTTTTTGCTTGGCTTGCCGTATGCACTGCACTTGTTGCCGCACCACATTGAAGCTGGCGCGGTCACAGATGCTGTAAACAAGGATATATCCATCTGTCCACTGCAGCTGTCTGTCGCTAATGTATCCCGACTCCTCACCATTCTGGAACAAGATATTTATCCATTAATTCTATTCACTTTGATGGTACAGATTTCAGCTTTAAAAGATTAGTTACTATCCTCAAAAGGTACTAATTAGTCATTTATTAAGCTAGTCTTGTTATATGCTATACATCTCAACTGATAGTTACAATTGATTTATTTAATAGAACGTATATCTAGATAGTAGATGGCTTTAAGGAATAAATGTTAAAAGGGCTTGCCATACTACTACTGCCGTGCAAAAAACTTTCAATCATTCTTTGGAATTGGCAAAACGATGCTTACCTGGTGGCAAAGCGAGTCCCATATGTTGAAACAAATATCACGCCCGTCGATCTTGTCAGTATGGCTGTATATTGATTCTGTAAAAGAGAAAGAAATGAAAAAGTTAGGCAAAACGAAGGATATTTTACTGCACATTACAATGGGGATCAAGACAAGAGAGTGATGATGAGAATAGCCTTTATGCTTACCTATATCTCCATATTCTCCAATGAACCGCCTCGTTAGAAAGCGCACGGTGAGCGCTGTGAATAATACACATAAAGATTGTTAGAGCCGTAATTCAGACTGTAAATTAAGGTACTGGCAATGTCGGTGCAGAACTTACCAGATTTTCCAACGTTCTCAGCTCCAAGTAACAAAATGTTGGCCTCCACTTTCTGCTGGTTGCCTTCCATGGTTTTGCTGCTGTGGCGAATGCGTGATTTCACTTGAACAACCATTGGTAGGTAGTACAGGCTGTCGGTAGAGTCCTACAGTGAGCAGGTGTTGAGCGTATTGAAGCGCCTTTGAAAGCGTGTTTAAATAGACTCAAGATGCCTGGGCGGGGCTTCCTCACTAGACTGACCAATCAGAGCGAAGAGCGTCTGTTGTTTTTGTCTGTAATTTAGAATAATACATTTTCTCTACGCACAACACGGGAAAACATTATTTTCAGGTGGGCAATTTTAGAGTTTCGGTATTAAAATAAATAAATAAAACATTTTTATCGAATACATTGTGAAGTTATGGAAGTTTTTTCCCTAACACAATTAAAATTAAAATGCTAAAAAAAAAGTCTCAAAACATTAGCTCAAATGGTCAAATCATTAAATAATAAATCAAACTCTAAAAAAAAAAGAACTTGCCCTTCATGCATATCATATGGAAGGGTTGTTGTTTTTTTTTAATCAACAATAATAGGCTACATTGATTGGTGAATAACATAAATTATTGTTAACTCGGGGTTCATCATATTATTTCAGCAACGTAATTACATTGTAAGTAGCAACTGAGGCTCTTGTCAAGGCATGACACCAATCCAGCAAATTCGGCTATGAATTGCAAATGCTTCTAAATCAGATCATCTTTAGCAACTAATTACGACTACATTCAATTAGCAATACAACACAGACATATGGCCCTTCTTGATCTGCCATGGCAAACGCTCTTTCATGACAATACAGTTCTCCAACTTGCCTTGTAGCTGCCACCATGGCCTTCATTAGCCGATAAATGACACTTTTCTTTAAATTCCATTGTTCAGATCCTGCCTAAACCTCATTGCTGTAAGAATACTATGAATGCTGTCATAGTTTATCTGCAAACTCTGTGTCCATTTTTCTTACATCAACTCTTGTTAAAGAGCGACGCCAAGTGGTAGGCTAAATGCGAACATTTCTCCTTCAGTTAGATTAGAAACACGCCTCCTGGTGGTCACATAAACAAATGACGGGGAATCAAGCACATTTTAGAAATGGTTACAACAGGATACAAAATGGATACATTTAAAATCATACTAAATCTAAATTGGTCTAAAATACATTAGCCTATAGTGCAAGTGAGTTTTTGAGTTGTAATGAGTGGAAATTCACATTATGGTAATAGGGACCATTATGGTAATGTTGACCATTGTTACATTTAAATTGACCTTACGGTTACGTGCAATATGCGCCTGCAGTAAAATAAATATGTTTTATCTTCTTTATTCAGCAACTGGGAATGGACAGTATTCACAGTAAAACAGAATCAAGCCTACTTGATATCAAACAACTCAACTAAAAAAGCCTATCATATACGACCAGATCGTTTGGACTACAGCCTAATACTGTTTAACAGAGATTTATGCTTGTTATAATAATATAATGGAGTGTTTAAATTTTGAAGCTGGCTGCTGAGATGTTGACCTGGGCAGAGAGAGAAGATGGGTTTTATTATAATCTGAGGTAATTTGTAAATGTTCAGTATCTGAGTGAGAAAGTAACAAACACATTGCAAATGGAAATTCAGTTCACTTCAGAAAAACATGTCAATTGAATGATAGAAGCAACTTAATTTCAGCCCCTCTCTTGTTTATTGATTAACAAAATTAGCTAGGGTTTTTGCTTTAAACACAAACCTGACAAGTAAGTCTGCTTTAGTATAGGCCAAAGATGACATTGTCAATGACAAAATATTTAGGCTATTAAGATATTTACATTACCATTCACAAGTTTAGAATTGGTAAGATTCAAGTCACCCATTCTCACCAATGCTGCATTTTTTTTTTATCAAAAGAGTGAAATATTTTTCCAATTTGATGCGCAAGAAAAAAAAATATTATTATCAATGGTGAAAATAGTTGTGCAAAATATTTTTGAAGTGACTGCGATAATTTTACATATAAAACGGAAAGTAAAAAAAATTGCAATTATTTTTCCTATACTTTATGAAAGCAAAACTTGATCATTATAGTACAGGGAACAAACAATGGTTTCAAAACCTACATAATGGATGTTCATGGGTATGAATGCATACTGTATAAACAGGAAGAATAATGGAGTGGTTTCAAACTTGAACTCAAATTAGTTTTTTTTTTTTTTTTTTTTTTTTAGCTTTTACCTGTAATTTTGGCCTTTTTGAACATGTCAGGAAAAAAAATCATTTATCTGTATTACTACTACCAGAGAATGTCTAATTGAAGAGAATTGGCACTGACTGGTTACTTCCGGTTTCTGGACTGGCTGCAGTAACACGTCTCTGTCCGTGCGGGGGCGCTCGCGGTCGAGTGCAGAATGAATGGGAGTCAACGGCGTTTCACTCCCAGAAATCCACTTTTCTCAGGATGTAATTTTTTGTCAACTAATTTTAAAGTTGCATTCAAAAGGGAGGGCTAAGAAAATACACTCAGCTGAAAATTGCATTTGTAAGTTCAATTATCTGTTCTAAAAATCCGTTCAAAACGGTGATGACGTCAAACAATAGCAGAATGCTAGCGTGCTCCGTCCAACAACTGCCTAACCTGTAAGAAATCAAAAGGACATAAGTACTCGTTCATTTGACTTTTGGCCTATAATCTATATTGAACTTGCGGAATCAACAATAAAATCTGTTTATTTAACGACAAGCAGGTGAAAGAGACACATTTAGCCGTTTAGCCCCATAGACTCCCATTCATTCTGCTCTCGCCCGCGATCACCTCCAGTGGAATTCTAATGGAACTGCAACCAAGATGACACACAATAGGGCTAATAGGAAGTGCCAAGGCTCTCCGTAAGACAGGCTCTGATACAACACAATTCCCAAAATACACATTTTAGAAGCCAAAGAGTTTTATTGAATGAATGTATTAAAAGTCTATTAATCAATATTCTGCCAAAATGATGTCTTTCATGCATCTTAGCCGTCTGTGCATGTTCTGAAAGTGGAGAATAAAACCATTAGATAGTACTATAACAACAGAGACGCATCAGTCGATAAACTCGCTGCTAAGCTGAAGCTGAAAGCCCTCTAAATGTTCCTTCAGTCTCTCCCTGACATGGTCCGACTGGTGCGTGAGCTGTCCGTTTTCCCACCCCGTAGACGTCAGTATCATGGAATCACACTTCACAGTCACTCCATCCCTTTCTTCAGAGGCCTTTGACTGAGATCCATCCAAAATAGTCTCGACCTCGACTCTGTTCGTTTCCCCCGTTTCAGCAACAACTGGCATCAGTAGCACATGATCGTCTGTCTTTTCCTGTACCCAGAAAAACTGCTGTCCCTCTCCCTGCTCGATCTCCACCTCGCTCTTTTCCTTCGTGCCGAGGTCGGGGAGAAGAAGTTGTTGATGCGGCTGAAGCACTTGGATTTGCTGTAGCTGGAATGCTGAAGAAGTTTCCTGTATTGTTGCGGAGTATTGTGATATGTCAGTCTGTGGGTGAAGTAGAGCGAGTTCCTGGATTGCTTCTGCATTATCATGGAGCTCGAGAGACGCTTCGTCCTCGTTGCTCAACTGATGCGGTTGCAATTCCATGGTGACCATCTGCATTGCGTCCTCATTCTCTGTGCTCTCACAGAAATACAAGTAGTAGCTTTGCTGCTCCACGGGCGACACGTCGGTCCTAGAGTTCTCTGGCTTTTGCTCTTTAAACACCTTTGCTTTCCTTTTGACTTCCTGGATTCTTTTAGGTTTATGTCTCGCCTGAGATCCTTGAACCTCATCTTTGTACCCACTTATTTTATTTCCTTCATTGTCTCTTCCGCAATAAAAACAGCACCCTTCGTCTTCCTCCGCTGTGACTTTTGGCCTCGCCTGTCCCTGTCCGTTCCATCCCTCGGCGAGAAGATCCATTTCATCAGTTGCACTCTCCTCCAATCCCTCAAGATTGCAACCTCTTTCCACCTTCGTCCCTTGTCCCTTTTGAGCGGCCCAGCTTGAAAACCTACCTCCTCGGGCCTCCTTCCCTTTCACCCCGTCTTTTGAGCGAGACAGGGTACTCCTCAGTCGGTTCTCTCTGAGGCGCAGCAGCGCGTGGCGTAGGCGGTTCTCCCGCCGGCGGGCGGCACTCAGAAGACGCAGCGCTTTTTCCAAGCTGTCGATTGCTTTGTCATAGCGCTTTCGCCACACTAGAGGGCACAACTGAGCGTAGTTGTGCTCTTTCGGCAAGTAAAAGCCAGGAGGCGGGGGGAGGCGCTTCATGTAGCATGATGGAGACGGTGGACGTGGAGAGGGTTGAGGAGAACAGGGGTCAGGAGGTTGTTCATCTAATAACGTCTCGGATGAACGAGGCTGCTCATGATTATCCTCCCCGTCGCCTTTTTCACACTCGTCATCTGCTACTTTTAGCACCTCAGTCTCATTGTTGAAGATCTCGTGGCTTTCTGATCCGTCATTATCATTGGAGTTCTTGCCACTGAAAAGAAGTTAAGTACAGATTTAGATGTAATTTGATAATTCCTTTTACAGTTGGTAAACATGGTGACGTTTTTTTGTGGGCGGAGCTTAGGTGGAGGCAGAACGATCCCTCTGGCCGCTAGTTAGCTTGTTTTTTAACAATGACTGGAGAAAATCCGATTTTATCTTAATGTTTAAGGGCCCTCAGTGTCCAGGACCGCGATTGTTATTTCCAAAAGTTATTTTCAACGGACGGAACCAGATTGGCCGACCCGTAGCCGCCTACACGCTCACTCAATGCATGGATGATCTGACAGGATTAACGTTACGTTACCTCGGTTGAGTGGCCTGACTTCTACACCTACCTTATAGAGAAACCGATCGTAAAAAGAAACAAATAAATCTTTAGATGCCTATATGGTCTGATGACAACTCGAACGTAAAGAGTGACATTATGGTGCGATTTTAATGATGTGAATATTTTCTAGAAATAAAAATTCCAGATACAGCATATTCATTTTTCATCAATTCTTGCACCAAACAACGCAAGATGACATTTAATAATAGTGACAATAATTTAAGCTCCTTATTATGTAGCCGAATCTGTGCTGGTTTGTATTAGCCGCCTCCAGTTTTCACTTTGTTTTGCGTCCAGCTAGCGCCGTGACGGAACTGTGACGTCGGCGCAAAAGGGGTCTATAATGACGTCACTTTGTAGGACAACTCGAAAGTTAGCGTCGCATGGGTTCCTTCGGTCGAAGGAACCCATAAAGGAAAATGCAGAAAAGCTATGCATTTTCCCCATAGACTTTTGGAAAATCGCAAAAAATAAGATCTGTGTTTAACAAAGAGTTGTGACCCTTTCACGTTTTGTCTGTCAAGATAATCTTTACAGGTTAAACCAAAATGTATACATTTTGAAGCCTATATAAAGTTTTTAAAAAAGACAAGCAGACACAATAAAGTTTAAAAAACCACAAGCAGGTTATAACTGTGTGTTCTATGTCATAGATCAAAACGTGAAAATATTTAGAGGCTTTGTTCACCACAGACCTTATTTCAGGCGATTTAGCAAAAACCCATTCAAAAATCCCATAGACTTTAGAGCGAGGGAACCGGGAGTGCTCGCTTCCGCGTTTTGGCCTATAGTGACGTCGTGACTTCGGCACTCTATTGTCTTTTGAACTTTCGATTCATCAAAGAATCCTGAAAAAAATAAATCGTACACAACTGGTTTTAACATTGATGATAATAATGAATGTTTTCTGAGCATCGAATTATCCGCATGATTTCTGAAGGATCAACTGAAAATAAAGCTTTGATCACAGGAATAAGTTATATTTTTAAAATATATTAAAATAGAAAACAGTTATTTTAATTTGTCTTAATATTTAACAATATTAGTTTTTTTTTTTTTTTGCAACTACACATTTGTAATAATGAAGTTGCATTTTGTACATTGAATATCGAATAACACATTACAGTAAAACCAATCTGTATTGCAGTATATATTGAAAACTTGTGTTTTTGTAAGAAAATTATCCATATTTATAACTTTAAAAAATAAAATCACTAGCTTCCGGTAAAGTGATGTATCAACGAACGCAGAAGCGCAGAGGATGGAGCAAAACAAAACACCAGTCACGAATTAGAAGTCTAAAAGGAGTATTTTTCAAGAGAGCTTGAGATGCCCAGCCCTATTTGTTTGAACCGCGAGAGGCGTCTGCTCTCACCTAAGCTTACGCTACTCCAACATCCTACGTCATACATAGGGTCAGAGTTCACTATAGCACAATAAAAAGAGTTTTTTGTTGTTGTTGTTGAAGTTTTAGGTAAGATACCTGATCCCTTTATCCACCTTTCGAGGTCTACCTCTCCGTTTTGTTGCACATTTCCCAGCAGTGCCTCTTTCATGAGGCTGAATTTCAAATACAGTGGGAATCGCATCATCCTTCAGTCTGCGATAGCCACTAAAAAAGAAAAGAAAAAGGAGGTTTCAACATTATTTTCTCATCTTCTAATATATAGTATTTTAGCAGAATAATTAAACATAGTTTTTTGTAGAAGTTTTTTGGGTCATAGCTTCTATGAAAAGTTAAGAGTTTAATAAGCAGCAGACCTGACTCCAGAGAGTTCAAAGCTATCAGGGGTGAAGTGTTTAGAGCAGAAATAGATGAAACCACTCTGAGGGTCCCACTGGCCTTTTCCCTCAGGGCCTTTGCGATGAGAGTTGATAATCCAAGTTGTGCGGCGAGGGTTTCCTTTCTTTGGCAACCTGGAAAATGTAATCATGAACAATATTGACAAGTTAAGATAACTGAGCAACTGCAACTGAGGCTCTTTTTCAACAGACAAAACAAATTATTATTAACAATCTCATGTAGTTCAGTAAACTGATCACTAGGAGGCAGACATTAATCATTATCGTTTCTCTTGAGCCGAACAAAATGTTGCATATTTTGATTCAGGAGGCATGGCAGTGCTTAAACCATCAAACTGTAGATCACATATACTTTCTATTGTAATTATAATTTTTAAAATCAGCTTTTTAATGCATAATGTCAGTGTAAATAATATAAACATGTTATACAGTAGTTGTTCAGCTGGGTCTGTTCTGTTAGGACCTGAACAGAAGTAAGAAAAAGGTCTGAATTCAAATAATAAAACATTGAGTCTGTTCTTCAACATGGCCACTACTGATTCGGAAACATTTATATGCACCTGTGAAAAGTGATTCCAGATTTCCGGACGTCTTTTGTGTCTCTTGACTTGCAACCTACAGCAGAACAGTGTCTGGGCATCTAGAAAAAAATAAAAAGATAAATAAATAAAAATTAAGGTACTGGCATCTTTCACCTTTTTTTTTAATCACACACATTTACCTAATAGCTTTTAATGATCTAGATTAAATTATATTTAATTAAACGAGATCAGATGGAAAAAAATAAAATCAATGGAAATAAAATAAATAAAAAAATAGAAATAGAAAACAAACAAAATCAGACTCAGAATACGGGTTAAAAATAATATAAAACTTAATGCACATCATAATAATAATAATGATAACACCAATAATAGCTAATAATTGAATAAGGAAAGACTATATAAATAAAAAATAATTATGCATGCATCATATTCATCAGTAATTTTATCATTTATTTGAGATTTTCAGAATTAACACGTTTTCCTGTTTTGAATTTCTTAAAATTGTATGCCAGTTAATATGGCGATAAAAGGCCCTAATATCGTAAACTGTTCGGCTGTAACAGTTTTTTAAGCAGCCGACTATCGGCTACCGATCGCCCGTATCAGTGTGACTTGATGTCAGCTCATGTATGTGATGTGTTTGGGGCTGCAGTGTTGTCTTTAGGCAACTACATAGCTAGCATGCTGCTAAAACAGTCGATACTTAAGTCAGCAGCTGACATGTTGCTCATTTGAAAACAAAATGAACCCAGACTACTGAATACAAATGCGTCCTGCTTTTCTAGCAAAGAATATTCTCAGCAATTTCTGCCTTTAAAACCATCCTTTAAACTCACCACAAAGGCCTGCCTGCGACCTCACGCAGATGGCCGTCTTCTTCTTCCTAGGCGCTGTAGATTAGACCCGCCTTTCGGCAGCAGCCAATCATAGCTTTGTGTTACTCTGACGTTACGAGGTTTGCATTTTAAAGGAGTAGTTCGCTTTAAAAATAAAAAAAAAGCCTGAGCTTCAAAAGCCACACTTTGCACTTTTATTAGAGACTATTTGTATTTTGAAAATAAGTCTCACAAAAGATTCACCATCACTGAGTTTACTGGCAATGGGCTCTATTTGGCGGTATTTCCAGTGAAGGTGTAAGGATGCTTGATAACTTCCGCCGATCGTAGACTACAATGCAAAACCGAGAATTTATATTGAATTTTATACTCCATGGTTATACTAAAGAGACGTTAGTCACAAAAACAGATAAAACAGACACCCCTCGTTGTGTTTTTGCTTCTTTTTAAAATTATATTAAATAAACATAACTATATATAAAATTACATCTAAACGTATGTACGTTTCATTTCAAAGACAGGAGGACAGTAAATTTTGAAGATTCTGCCATAATCCCGTTTTCCTCGGTGTTCCTCCGCTTTAATCTCCACAACCGGAAATGGACGAGCTTCCTTGCGTCAAATGCAGAATTTATGTGTGCATATAGCAGCCCATAGTTTTTGGTAGTAGTTCACTTTAAAAAAAAAAAAAAAAAATTGCTGATAATTTACTCACTCCCAGTCCCATGTCATCCAAGATGTCCATGCCTTTCTTTCTTCAGTCGAAAAGAAATTAAGGTTTTTGATGAAAGCATTCCAGGATTTTTCTCCATATAATGCACTTCATTGGGAATAAGGCTCTTCTCAAGCGAAACGATCGCTCATAAAAACAAAAACAAAGTTAAAGTTTGATAAGCTCAAATGGTTGCCTTGCTCTGTTCTATCAAATATTTTTTCATGTCATTTGGTTCATTCAACGAACGAGTTGACTCGAGTCGAACGAGTTGACAGAACAGAGCAAGTCGAGCATCTGATCTTACAAAACTTAAACTTTTTGTTTTTTTAAATGAGCAATCGTTTCGCTTGATAAGACCCTTATTCATCGTCTGGAATCGTTTAAAGCCCTTTAAACAGTTTGCACTGAAACTGTCTTTTGGACTTGAACCGTTTGGTTCCCATTGAAGTCCATTATGGAGAAAAATCTTGGAATGTTTTCATCAAAAACCTTAATTTCTTTTCGACTGAGGAAAGAAAGACGTGGACATCTTGGATGACATGGGGGTGAGTAAATTATCAGCAAAAGTTATTTTTCAAGTGATCTATTGCCAGTAAACTCAGTGATGGTGAATCTTTTGTGAGACTTATTTTCACAATACAAATAGTCTCTAATAAATGTGCAAAGTGTGGATTTTGAATCTCAGTGTGGATATATGATTGTGCTAGTTTAAGCCTCAAAGTGATGTGCATGATACCGAGAGGTTTCTGAATGCATTTCAGCTCCGCTGATGTGTGAAACACTGAAGCTCAGAAACATGCAAACCACAGACACTTAAATGTATCACTTGAATGTATCACATCGATAGATAGGCCTACTTAGAAATACAGAGGAAATCCTGCAGGTTTAATGCATGGGAATAAGCAAAAATGTTAATTAATATTTCAGTTTTTCTTGCATTGTTGGTGAATAAGAGATGTGATGGGTGAAGCTAAAGTATTTAGTGATTTAAGGAGCACAATTTAGACTTTAGTAGACTATACAGTAACTAATGAGACCTAAACTTCATTATGTAGCATAATTTATTAATACTATTTATATTAATTTAATAATTTCTGTGATTATTGATAACCAGAGGAAGATCATGAAGCTCATGCATCCACATAACTGAGCAGTCCACATTTCTGTCCTTGATTAATTTGAATATATTCTGCAAATGGTTGAAGATAAAAATATAAATAAGTATATGAACTTGTATTCTATTTCAGCTGCATATGTAAAATATCTTGAGAGAGCTATCTGTTAGCATTCCATATCCATCATAATAATAGTTAACATGCACAAGCTAAACATTTTCTTCTTTGCATGTACAGTATTTTTTGAGGCCATCACCTGAGAATGAGTGATCATACTGAGGTATATTAGAACTTATTGCAACCGACAGTGATGGCATACTAGCAAACACAAATAGATTTATGCTAGAGATGTATACAAATTCAACACATTTCTCTCTGCCTGCAAATGTGAACCATGAATAATGAAATATGATTGTGTAGTACAATGTATAAAGAAGATAATCTTTAAAGGACCAGCACTGCCTGTAGAGTATAGCACTGTAAGCTGCAACACTCTCGGAAAAAAAGGTAAGAGCTGTCACTGGGGCTGTACCTTTTCAAAAGGTAACCTTTTTCCATTTTAGGTGCTAATATGTACTTTTTAATAGCTAATAAGTACATTTTAGGTGCTAATGTGTACTTTTTAATTGCTAATATGTACATTTTAGGTGCTAATATGTACGTTTTAGGTGTTAATATGTACATTTTAGGTGTTAATATGTACATTTTAAGGGTAATGTGTACATTTCAGGAGCTTATATGTCCATTTTAGGTGCTAATATGTACCACTAAGGTAGCAATATATAGCCTTTGGGCACAAAAGTGTACCTTTTGAAAAGGTACAGCCTCAGTGATGGCTTTTGTACCTTTTTTTTTTCTGAAAGTGTACATTTCACAAGTCTAATGAACCCATAAGAACACAAACACACAGATCTGTCTTTAAAAATGATTTTAATGCAAAAACCCAGAAAAAACAAACAAACAGAGAAAAGCGCCGGAAAAAGAACTACGCAAATTATACCAATACACTTATTTTCTATCGCAGATGAAAGTGCTGTTAGGCTATATTAAGATAGTTTTCATGCAAGGATGGATTCAAGATGCAGGTCACAGCAAAAATAGCTTTCCATGAGTACTCTTGAAGTTTGAGTTATTGTGAGCCGATTCAAGCCTGTGCATGTCTTTAACCAGAACACCATTTCTTGAGCTGAAAATGTCAGCGAGGTGAGAAGCCATTGGGGAAGGTCCGTGTTCATCACACCGTGGGCCCTTCAGACTGGGAGCACATGTCACTTTATAGGTAAAAAAGAAGGTGCCATATTTAAAGACACAAGCCTCACTTACAACTCCACTTCTAATTTCAAAAGAGCATTGACCAAGGAGATTGCTGTTCCAGCTGCTGTCTGCATCAAAAACTTTAAAAGTTAGTCTATTGCTCATCCTAATCTTAATAGGAGAAAAACGAAATATTTCTGACCAACGTGGATTGTCATTATTATCAATAATCTCAGTGCGCTTGATTTGTGTGCCATATTTAACTGATACAGCACCATCAGTTTTACTAAATCTATCTCCATAGAGATCTTTGGCTCTAAGTTTGTAGACTGTCAGGGTGGCAAGTCCTTTTTCAGGTGGACAGCAGTTAGACTTTATAACTTGACTACTTTCACAAACACAAACACATCGGTCTCTTGCACTGCACTTCTTACCAATCTTGCACGGCTCTGAGCAAACTTTCACAAGGGCATTTTTAATTATGTATTCTTCAACAGCTCTTTTCAGTCCTTTCCTAGCAGGGTGTTTATCACTCAGTAAGAAATGTAGAGGTTTCAGAGTGTAGTGCACAATGTCAGGGACGCTCTTCAAAGACTCAAACCAGTTCTTGCGGGAATTTGGGTGTGATGAACCAGAAAAAAGCAGATCTTCTCCATTTATGTTTCCTCCGATAATCTCTGTCTGACGCTCACTGAACATGGAGCTGAACTTTTCATTTGTGCCCATCTTCTTTTTCTTTTCTTTACAAAAATGGCTCTCTGCCTTCACAGTTACTACAGAGTATGAAGCAGACGCTTCAACATCCAAACAGTCTTTCACTGCAGTGTCTGTGAGTCCACTCACGGCTGCCTGACAGGTTTTGATGGCTGTTACGGCTTTGATTCTCCCCCCTAACATGACACTTGTGGTAAAGTGAGTGCCATATGTGGTGATCAGGTTGCGGTAGGCGTCTGGATCATAGGATGCAGGGAGGTTTTTGATTGCTTGAAGAAACTCTGCATGAAGATGAGGATTTTCAGCAAGACTATATCTGTAAAGAAACAGTAAACAAACTTGAATTCAGTGGGAGCAAAGAGGGAGTCATTTACAATTACTAGAAAGTCATTCTATGAGGAAAAGCAAGCCAACTCTCTCACCTGTAAAAGCTGCATGAAACTTCATGTTTGGTGAAACTGTATTTGTCTTCTTTTGATTTTGTCATTCCAAATTTGGCTTCCCTGGAATGAGTGCTTCCGACTGCAGCTCCAGCAACCTTCACATCTAAACCAACTTTCCAGCTGACCGAGAGTGCTGATGATGAATCATTGACCAGTGCTTCACTTGATTCAAAGACCTGACTGGAGACTTTATTTGAACACTTTGGCAAGGTCCTCCAGAACACAACAGCTGCTGGTAGCTTCTGTTTTATTCCATTCATGTAACGGTTTCTGCGCAATTTACAAGTGCCGTTTCCTAAATCCCACTCCTCCATGTTGATCACGTAAGCTCCTTTTCGTTCCATGGTCACAACATCAAATCCTTCTCCAGCGAGATTGTACCCTGGAACAAAGGGAGCATCCACGCACTCTTTTGATGCTCCTATGTCATCCTCTCCAGAAATGGTCACGAGAAGCAATGCCCAGAAAACAAGGTAAATCTGGAACTGCCCCATCATCTGTAGCGAGATGGTAATTTTTCAATATTTTTGTCAAATCAAAAAAATAAATATCACTTAACAAGAACAATGGTCAAGAATTGTAACAGAATTTATATATTTTTTTTAAGCAAATAGAAAATTAAAAAGGATGTTAAGCAGTAATTGTCTCTTTAAAATAATAATAAGATTAATTTAATAATATTGTTTCACTAACCTCCCATTAAATGTAGAGCTGATATATTCAAATATAAGTTACAGGTTGTCTCTCTAACTCCTCGATTGCTGAGTGGTTGTGGGTGTCAAAGATTTATAGTGCAAATATGCCATGACGTGGCTGTGACAAATCTTCTAATAAC